TTTTGACTGTATACCTAAGGGTAGATAACGATAAGTGGACAAATTTGTTAATGGGGATAGAGAGGAAGGCGGGGCAGAAGGTGAATGAGTTAAAGTTGTCAGTAATTTGAAAATGTGTTTCAAGATAACTACAACTACTACTAGGTGCTGATGCCCTACATAATCAAATACACAAGATATTTATTGTATTCTGTATTAAATGAAAATAGTGAAGTCACACGCTCTACAAACCTCTACCATAAAAATCACCAGTCACTTTCTTCATCCTTTTCTGAAAGTGCCAGAAAGTACAGAGGAAAGTTTCAAACACCCAGTACTTCTGCTCACTGATCCACCGTTGCACTGAATTATCACCCTTTTTAACAGGCAATAATTCCAAATCTTAACCACTATATCTTCACTTCAGCTGTCAAAGCCTTGAACCAACTGCCTAACGTTGCTCTTCAATCACCCTATCCACCCACTCCCCCACTCCCCACAATCCACCTGTGGCATCCATCACACTAAAACCAAGCAGATGCAGTAAATAACATGAACTGTTAAATATAACGAGGCTTAGATTTAAAAAGAAACACAGGTTGTACCATCTCCTCCTGGGGATTCATCACTCTTATTACCTCTCTTTGTGGAACTCACGCTCAGAGTAGCTGTTGGGATTTGGAAAGAAAATGATGAAGAAGCATTTTGGAGGCAAAGTGTAAAGGTGAAAGGACGGTTAAGAAGAAAGGGATGAGATAAACCAAGGGAGGAGAAGAAGATAAATTGTACCGACAACCATAATGATGTGACTTCTACAGCAGAGAACTGAACAACTTTTTGCCACTGGAGGGGTCAAAGGTCATATAACGGGTTTAGAGCAAATAATCATTTACTATGTTCTTATAAGTCATTGTGGCAGCCAAACACTGGCTGTTAGTTTTCCCACATGTGTATATTAGTGAGTGGTTCTCACTGTGGGCTGGTGCCATTCGCTTTAAAGGAAAGATACTTTCCTCAGCAGTTCAAGGGTTAAAATCTTCTAGTGGAAACAGTAACCTCCTGCAGACACATGGGATTTAACACAAACAACACACACATACACACACCTGATACTGTGTGCGCTGTAACCCCCCGTGGACTGTATACACCAGGTGAGTGATTCTAAACCACTGGGCAGCGTCACATGAGTGTGCCGTGACAGATGATCAACTGTACCATGAAAACATGAGAGAGCGAGAGAGAGAGAGAGAGAGAGAGAGAGAGCGAGAGAGAGAGAGAGAGAGAGAGAGAGCGAGAGAGAGAGAGAGAGAGAGAGAGAGAGGCAGGCAGGCTTGATTTCGACAACTCTATCAGAAGACTAACTTCTGAAATAAAAGAAAAAAAAAACAATAAAGAGGATAAAGAAATGATGAGCCAAAAAAATTTAACAAACTTCGTGAAGATAGAAGAAGGCACGGTGAACTGTTGGTGATTTTCCCTACTGTGTGAAAAAATAGATCTTCTTATCATATACTAATTTCCACATTACTTAATGCTAATACATACAGTTTTACAATAAAAAAAAATCTCCTTTTGACTTTATTGATCAGTTGCATTATCAAGTTACAGATTTAACTTTCAAATAAAAAAGGTTCTTGATAAACACTGATCGACCGGAGCAGCCCTCCAATTAATGTTTGTGGTGTTTTTAACCTTTTGAGAAGTGAACAGTTCACACTCAGAAATATAATTTTGACCAAAAGCCGGGTCTTCCTCCCTTTAATCCCAGTCCATTCGTCACTTTTAATCCTCTAAACTCCGCTCTCACCTCAGTGTCACTGCAGGAGCAGTAAAATATCACACAGCACCATGAATCACAGGACTACAGAGGGTCACTGAGCCGATCAGAGGGCTCTGCTCTGGGCCAGTTCTGGGCCAGTTCCTTTTTCAACTACCAACTGATCGGCTCAGTGCTGTCAGCATGTTGGCAGTGAAACTGTCCAGGTAGTTTGTTCCCCTCACGTCTAAGCGTGTGAATTCAAATGCAAATGTGTTTCCTCTTTTACGAGGAAACGTTAACATTCAAACATGTGACATGTTCTTGTCTGGAAATAAAAGACACCTGGGCCAGTTCCTTTTTCAACTACCAACTTTCTACATTTTATAGTATTTTGTATTTATTTTCTCATGGTCATTTGGCAAACATTCAAAAGTATTTAAGGCTAACGTTGGTTCAGGGAACTGCATCAGTAATGGAAAACGATTGAGTAGAGCAGTGAACAGGTGCTGACCATGTGTACAAAGTGCAAAGGCAATAAAGTCACACACACACACACACACACTCACTCACACACTCTCTATTATATCCTTGAAATTTCATGCTGAATATTATTAGGGTGTTAAAATAAAAGTATGACGGGAAATGAAACCCTGTAGATGATAATAATAATAATAATAATAATAATAAACACACTCTCACACACATGCTGAATATTATTAGGGTGTTAAAATAAAAGTATGAAGGGAAATGAAAAACCCTAACCCTGTAGATAATAATAATAACAACAACAACAACAACAACAATAATAATAAAGTTTTAGGTTCAACATGCTGCTTTTCATCCCAGAGGATTGACTATGACTACACACTGATTTGATATGAAGCTGCTGAAAGGTAAGTTTGGCAGATTTTCTGGCCATTCATTTACAGACACAGAAAGCGCAGCACACACACAGAAAGAGAGAAACATTGTGTGATTCTTCTGTTTCTCTGTTTCACAGTAAACGTATATTAAGAGACTGGTTGTACATGAATAATTCATTTCATACACAATTTTACACTATTTTTCTAATAAATTGATTTACATGTGTATGCACCTTCACATTTGTGTGCTCTGTCTACTGCGCGCCTGCAATTCGCATCACTATTGCCTTAAATCGAAACCAAAAGTATTTTTAGATCTCGGTGAAGGCACCAGAATGCGGCGCTTGAACAACTCGTTTACAACAAGAACTCCTCTACAAATTTAGCACTGGTGAGATTAATACTTTTTACTGCATCTCAAATTTTCAATTCTATTGCACTTCCTATTTGTCGGTTTGATTTTTGAGCCTGTTTTCCTCCACGCGTCCGGTCACAGAGACGACGCCCTTAAAGACAGTCTGAACGATTGTAAATGACAGAGAGCGACGTACTTTTCATCATCAATCTTGTTACCATGTTTTTGCTATTATTATTACAACACTATTAGCACGTTAACAACCTTGTCTTGAACCTACAGTACCAAAAAAAAGTTTTGGTCATGTGACGTGAAGAATAGTATAGTGACGTTATTCATAATATTATTCGTTGCTGGTGTAATATCTTACAATAATTCTATTGTTTTATTTTATAGTTTAATTTAGCTGATTTTTTTTTATCACAATCATGTCAACTAAGTGATTACACATAACTAATAACACTAATGCTTTTTTTATTTATATCAAACACAGAGCCCAGAACCAGTACCAAGCCAGCAGTTGGTGCTGTCTTCAAATGCATTAGCATCTGCCAAGGAACGTTTACCAAGCAAGTACTTAATTGAATTGGAACCTGGTGCAAAAGATGTGTAGCCTAAAAAATGAAAGAGGAATAAAATAGATTATAGGCTTCAGCCTCGTTGGACAGTAATAGCTTCAACTTCCTCTGAGAAAAATCATGGCGTCATCATTTGAAACGTAAGTGAACACAATACACAGGTGCAGTACAGTACGTAAAGTAAAAGTGAAAGTTTAGTATACTGAAAACTGGTGTCTGTACATGTAAGCTAATACATTGAAAAAATGTGAAATATTCAAAAGAAACTTGAGACAAGTAACACTAATTCTTACTAATTTACATTGGGAAAACACACATTTATCTTATCTTTTTAAGATAAATGTGTGTTCTAAGTTTTCACTCGAAAAAAAAGCAAATCATAATTAAAAAACACATTTGTAAGTTATTAAACACATTTTAAAATACACGACTCCAATTTGTACGATTCTTGGCCAAGTCAGAAACTAGCCTGTGTTTACTGTACTTGTATATAATATGATATACAGTCCAAGACACAGCTGTCTGTGTGTACAGCAATAGGGAGACTGTAGAATTTAAAGATATACGAATATGAAACAACACAACTTCATTTCTGAAACATGTGTCTTACCTGGCCTAACAGAGGAAGACCAGGTTCACCTTCAAACAGTGATGTGTTGTCCATGAGGAGTGATCAATCCATGGGCAAACCCATCAACTTTAACACTGAAGAAACAAGGTAGGACTGTGTTGGTGTTTCTTGAGCTACAATACTTGGGCAAGTCAGAAACTAGCCTGACACAAATATGTGTATAAAATATAAAACGTTTTCTAGAATAAACATATTGGAAATTGAAACTGACTTCACATACAATAGTCACCCACAACCATATACAGTATGTCATTTTCTATGAAGAGTGACAAATCCACGGACAATCCCATCAACCTCAGCCGACTTGTATAAAATATGATTAAAAATTCAAGACAGTGACTGTAAATGCAAAAATTAAATGATTGCCAAATTTAAAGTTTTTTGTATATAGGAAAACAGCTATTGTTTAACCCTTGTAAAGTCCTTCGATGTCTTGTCCAATATGTCTTTGTGTGTGTGTGTGCCTGCGTGTGCATGTTCCTGTACTGCATGACTTGTGCCAACTTTTCCTCATATTCATTAATACTCATATTCTGGGACAAGATGAAAATCATTGCAAGGACAAACGGTGTGTACAAAAATGTAAAGGAGCTCCTTTTTTACAACCTGTTTGTCATAACTGGCCTAACAGAGGAAGACCAGGCTCACCTTCAAACAGTGACGTGTTGTCCATGAAGAGTGATCAATCCATGGGCAAACCCATCAACTTTAACACTGAAGAAATAAGGTAGGACTGTGTTGGTGTTTTTTGTACTTGTATGCAAAATGAAGTCCAAGGTATCAGCTGTCTGTACATACAACATTAGTGAAATGGTAGCATTTAAACATATACTAACATGAAAGTAGATGAAGGTAATAACATACAAACTAACAACAACTTCATTTCTGCCACGTGTGTCTTGAACCTGGCCTAACAGAGGAAGACCAGGCTCACCTTCAAACAGTGACGTGTTGTCCATGAGGAGTGATCAATCCATGGGCAAACCCATCAACTTTAACACTGAAAAAACAAGGTAGGACTGTGTTGGTGTTTCTTGAGCTACAATACTTGGGCAAGTCAGAAACTAGCCTGACACAAATATGTGTATAAAATATAAAACGTTTTCTAGAATAAACATATTGGAAATTGAAACTGACTTCACATACAATAGTCACCCACAACCATATACAGTATGTCATTTTCTATGAAGAGTGACAAATCCACGGACAATCCCATTGACCTCAGCCGACCTTTGACTTGTATAAGTGACTGTAAATGCAAAAATTAAATGATTGCCAAATTTAAAGTTTTATTTAAAAGGGAAACAGCTATTGTTTAACAACTGTTCTAACTAAACTTCAATATGGAGCTCCTTTTTTACAACCTGTTTGTCATAACTGGCATAACAGAGGAAGACCAGGCTCACCTTCAAACAGTGATGTGTCCATGAAGCGTGATCAATCCATGGGCAATCCCACCAACTTTAACACAGCAGAAACAAGGTAGGACTGTGTTGCTGTTTTATGTCCTGGTAGAATTTAAATATAAAGAAATATGAAAGCAGATAAGGCTAAACTACACAGACATTTAAACTAATGAAACTTCATTTCTGCAAAAATTAACCTGGTCTAACAGTCAAGGAACAGACTCACCATTAAACAATGATGTTAGCTCCAGTGGGTCCAGTGGCAACTCTACCAACTCAGGAAACAAAGATTCAAGTACTCAAATTTATATTTCCTTTTAGCTGACTTCACATTGTTTGCATAACCAGTGATACTGGTCTTCTCATACTACTTTTTTTCTAATTAGGAATAAAAGTGCTCAAAGAGCCCCTGAAGAAACGAATCCTGAAAAAACATAAAACTGATGGTCAGAAAAATTTAGAGACAGAGCTCATACACATAACTGCTGCTGATGTCAACAACAAAGAAGGAAAACCTTTGGGAAACTTTGGCAATCTGTTTAAACCTCTGAATGATGTCCGCACCGTGCTCACAAGTGGTGTGGCTCGCATCGGTAAAACATTTAACACTCAGAAGATGATGGTTGACTGGGCAAATGGAAACTCCAACAAAGACATTGACTTAATAGTGCAGTTTAATTTAAGTCAACTGGAATCAAGCAAACACAAGGAACAGAGCCTGAAGGATCTTCTTGATGATCACTTCCATGATTTAAAAGTGTCAGATGTTTCCAACTATGAAGACTACAAAATAGCCTTTGTCCTTGATGAGTTTGAAAAACATAACTTGGATCTGGATTTCCAAAAGAACAACGATTTATCTGACCTTGATGATAAAGCCTCAGTGGGTGTGCTGCTAACAAGCCTCATCAAAGGGACATTGCTCCATTCAGCTCGATTATGGATCATCTCTCAAACTTCAGATGTGAAGATTCCACCAAACTATATTGACAAAGTGACTCTATGTCGAGGTAAGACGTGTTGCTAGTATCACATTTTCATTACCTTAATGTGTTTATTATTTTATAAAACTAATTGAATGTGGAAAACACTGTTTTTGTCTTTATTCAGAGACGTCCACACGTCAAGAGCAGCTGATGTCAGATCTTAAGGCGAGGTTTAAAAACAAACCCTCTGTACCTAAAAATCTTTACCCTCCAAACATAGAACATGTAATAAGAGAGGGCAGTGATTATGAGGCTGAAAAAGTGTCAAGAGTGAGCAACATTACAGAGATCTTCAAAGAGAACAATACGAAAAAAATCCGGACTGTGCTGACGATTGAAAAACCAGACATTGGAAAAACCTTCCATGTGGACAAATTCATTCAAGAATGGGCTAAAGCTGGAACAGGGTCATTCTTCAACATTTAACACTCAGAAGATGATGGTTGACTGGGCAAATGGAAACTCCAACAAAGACATTGACTTAATAGTGCAGTTTAATTTAAGTCAACTGGAATCAAGCAAACACAAGGAACAGAGCCTGAAGGATCTTCTTGATGATCACTTCCATGATTTAAAAGTGTCAGATGTTTCCAACTATGAAGACTACAAAATAGCCTTTGTCCTTGATGAGTTTGAAAAACATAACTTGGATCTGGATTTTCAAAAGAACAACGATTTATCTGACCTTGATGATAAAGCCTCAGTGGGTGTGCTGCTAACAAGCCTCATCAAAGGGACATTGCTCCATTCAGCTCGATTATGGATCATCTCTCAAACTTCAGATGTGAAGATTCCACCAAACTATATTGACAAAGTGACTCTATGTCGAGGTAAGACGTGTTGCTAGTATCACATTTTCATTACCTTAATGTGTTTATTATTTTATAAAACTAATTGAATGTGGAAAACACTGTTTTTGTCTTTATTCAGAGACGTCCACACGTCAAGAGCAGCTGATGTCAGATCTTAAGGCGAGGTTTAAAAACAAACCCTCTGTACCTAAAAATCTTTACCCTCCAAACATAGAACATGTAATAAGAGAGGGCAGTGATTATGAGGCTGAAAAAGTGTCAAGAGTGAGCAACATTACAGAGATCTTCAAAGAGAACAAAAAGAAAAAAATCCGGACTGTGCTGACGACTGAAGAACCAGACATTGGAAAAACCTTCCATGTGGACAAATTCATTCAAGAATGGGCTAAAGCTGGAACAGGGTCATTCTTCAGGTGGATTAATTTCCTTAACAAATCTCAAGATAAAGAACTTATTTTTCCACTTAAAGTTTCTAAACTCTGTGAATTAAAAAACAAAACAATGAGTTTAGACGAAGTTCTTCAAAATGTATTTGAGGAAATGAGAAAATCAGTGATTTCTAATTTAGAAATTTTCAAAATCATAATCATCTTGGATGGACTGAACTCTCGGGGACTTCCTTTGGACTTTAATGGAGCTGACACTGTGACAGATGTCAGACAGAAGGCCACAGTAGATGTCCTACTGACAAACCTAATCAAAGGAAACCTGCTTCCCTCTGCCAAGCTGTGGATCACCTCTGATCAGTCATCTCTTGAATGGCTGCCTGAAGATATGTTTCAGAGAGTGACAGAAATTCGAGGTAAACCAACCAGTTCCTGTAAATATTTACACCTGCACTGTTTATAGTGTTTGAAATGTTGAAGTAGATGAATATGCAGGTGATTTTTTTTTATAATCTGTGCTCAATTTTCTATAAAGATTATTTTAGTGTTCTGAACTATAGTTTGATCCTGCTGGAGGGACAAATGTAATGAGGTTGGTTTTAAAGGCTAGCATTTGCCCTTTGGAAATCAGAAATATAACCTTTATCAGACATCAGTGTTTTTTATTACACCAAAGAAAACATAACAGAGGAAGACCAGGTTCACCTTCAAACAGTGATGTGTCCATGAAGAGTGATCAATCCCACCAACCTGAACACTGCAACAACAAGTTAGGAATGTGTTGGTGTTTCATGTACTGGTAGAATTTAAATGTAAAGTAATATGAAAGCAGATAAGGCTATAGATTTAAACTAATGCAACATAATTTCTGCAAAAATGAACCTGGTCTAACAGTCAAGGAACAGACTCACCATTAAACAATGATGTTAGCTCCAGTGGGTCCAGTGGCAACTCTACCAACTCAGGAAACAAAGATTCAAGTACTCAAATTTATATTTCCTTTTAGCTGACTTCACATTGTTTGCATAACCAGTGATACTGGTCTTCTCATACTTATTTTTTTTCTAATTAGGAATAAAAGTGCTCAAAGAGCCCCTGAAGAAACGAATCCTGAAAAAACATGAAGCTGAATGTCAGAAGAAGTCAGAGACGGAGCTCATACACATAACTGCTGCTGATGTCAACAACAAAGAAGGAAAACCTTTGGGAAACTTTGGCAATCTGTTTAAACCTCTGAATGATGTCCGCACTGTGCTCACAAGTGGTGTGGCTCGCATCGGTAAAACATTTAACACTCAGAAGATGATGGTTGACTGGGCAAATGGAAACTCCAACAAAGACATTGACTTAATAGTGCAGTTTAATTTAAGTCAACTGGAATCAAGCAAACACAAGGAACAGAGCCTGAAGGATCTTCTTGATGATCACTTCCATGATTTAAAAGTGTCAGATGTTTCCAACTATGAAGACTACAAAATAGCCTTTGTCCTTGATGAGTTTGAAAAACATAACTTGGATCTGGATTTCCAAAAGAACAACGATTTATCTGACCTTGATGATAAAGCCTCAGTGGGTGTGCTGCTAACAAGCCTCATCAAAGGGACATTGCTCCATTCAGCTCGATTATGGATCATCTCTCAAACTTCAGATGTGAAGATTCCACCAAACTATATTGACAAAGTGACTCTATGTCGAGGTAAGACGTGTTGCTAGTATCACATTTTCATTACCTTAATGTGTTTATTATTTTATAAAACTAATTGAATGTGGAAAACACTGTTTTTGTCTTTATTCAGAGACGTCCACACGTCAAGAGCAGCTGATGTCAGATCTTAAGGCGAGGTTTAAAAACAAACCCTCTGTACCTAAAAATCTTTACCCTCCAAACATAGAACATGTAATAAGAGAGGGCAGTGATTATGAGGCTGAAAAAGTGTCAAGAGTGAGCAACATTACAGAGATCTTCAAAGAGAACAATACGAAAAAAATCCGGACTGTGCTGACGATTGAAAAACCAGACATTGGAAAAACCTTCCATGTGGACAAATTCATTCAAGAATGGGCTAAAGCTGGAACAGGGTCATTCTTCAAGAGGATTCCTTTCCTTAACAAACCTCAAGATAAAGAACTTATTTTTCCACTTAAAGTTTCTAAACTCTGTGAATTAAAAAACAAAACAATGAGTTTAGACGAAGTTCTTCAAAATGTATTTGAGGAAATGAGAAAATCAGTGATTTCTAATTTAGAAATTTTCAAAATCATAATCATCTTGGATGGACTGAACTCTCGGGGACTTCCTTTGGACTTTAATGGAGCTGACACTGTGACAGATGTCAGACAGAAGGCCACAGTAGATGTCCTACTGACAAACCTAATCAAAGGAAACCTGCTTCCCTCTGCCAAGCTGTGGATCACCTCTGATCAGTCATCTCTTGAATGGCTGCCTGAAGATATGTTTCAGAGAGTGACAGAAATTCGAGGTAAACCAACCAGTTCCTGTAAATATTTACACCTGCACTGGTTATAGTGTTTGAAATGTTGACGTAGATGATGGCTTCCTTACGAATATTTAGGTCAGTTTTGCACCATCAGAGTACGCATACGAGTGTGTTACATATAGATATGATAATTTGGAAAAACTAGCAGAATGTGCTGAAAGACTGATTGCTCTTTAGTCAGCGAGTCTGCCTATCTTTGATTAGACCTCATGCACATAAATATGTACTGTGAAGATGTGGTCAGCACACTTGCCACTACAATAATACGATCACTACTTCACAGTTCGGTCTATGTTCTCCCCGTGTTCTCCCCCGCATCAGTTTTCTCCTGGTACTCCAGTTTTGCCCCACAATCCACAACTACAGATTAGTGATCAGGTTGATTGGACACTCAATTGAATTGGGGTATAAATGTGAGAGAGACTGGTTGTTTGTCTCTATATGTGACTCTGTGATAAACTGGTGAGTGCACACCGCCCTGGCCTGTTGACTGTAAGGATTGGCTCCAAAGACCCTTGAGCCCGCAAAAGGCGATAGAAAAAGAATAAATGAATCATGAATGAGATTTATTCAAGGGTTAGAGGTCACCTGGTGTAGTTGGTTGAGGCTGATCGTCATTTACTTACGTTAATTCTGTTTTTTTTTTGTTTTTTTTTTACAGAAAAGCCTGATGGAGCGAGTCAGAGGAATCTTAAAAACCAGCTAAAGAAGCAGTTTACCTTTGTATCTGAAGGCCTGGATAAGCAGGAAACCTCTGCTTCTTTGAAAAGTATTTACACAGATCTCTACATCATCAGGGGAGAAAGGGGAAAGGTCAATGTTCAGCATGAGTCGAGACAGATTCAGGAGGCAAAATTTAAATCAGGGCAGGAAGAAATTCCGATCAAGTGTTTGCACATCTTCCAACCTGCACCTGATGAGAGTTTACCACCCAGAAATGTTTTCACATTAGGAATGGCAGGGATTGGGAAAACATTTGCTTCAATGAAGTTCATCCTGGACTGGGCTGATGGTACAGCCAATAAAAGCATCAATTTCATATTTCCACTCTCTTTCCGGGAACTAAATCTTATAAAGGAAGAGGAACACAGTTTCCAGGAACTTATTCATCGGTTGTTTCCTGCTATGAAGAGATCAGAAATAACTAACTATGACCAGTACCAAGTTCTGGTTGTTCTGGATGGTCTTGATGAATGCCGGCTTGACCTTAATTTCCGTGAGAGCAAACATTTGACGGATGTAAAACAGAAAACCACAGTAAATGTTCTTCTGGTAAACCTTATCAAAGGAAACCTGCTTCCTAAAGCTCAAGTCTGGATAACGACCCGACCAGCTGCTTCCAATACTATTCTGGTGTAGTTCACCGTGTTACAGAAGTGCGAGGATTTAATGATGAGCAGAAGGAAGAGTACTTCAAGAAGAGATTCAATAAAGAAGATCTGGTTAATCAAATCCTGGAACATGTTAGGAAATCAAGAAGCGTTCACATCATGTGTCACATCCCAGTCTTTTGCTGGATCACTGCGAAGGTTCTGGAGGATTTCGTGCAACGAAACCAAGAAGAGGGCATGCCCAAGACTTTGACTGACATGTACATTTGCTTTTTGTTGCTGCAATGTAGACAGGCTAATATAAAATATACCAAAGAAGAGACAAGTGACATCTTGGGGGCAGAGTCGATTTGGAATGAGAGGAACAAGAAGACAATCCTATCACTGGCAAAGGTGGCCTTTGACGAACTAGAGAAGGGAAACTTCCTCTTCACAGAGGACAGTTTGCCAAAGAATATTGTTGAAGGAAAAGCTGCAGTTTTCTCTGGCTTGCTTACTCAAGTCAAACGTGAAGGTTGTGAATGGATCACAAATTTTTACTGCTTTGTCCACCTAAGCATTCAGGAGTTTTTAGCAGCTTTACACGTGATTCAAACGTTCAACAATGAGGGAAAAAATCTGCTTCAAATGGAGGCAGTGGATTTGTCTGAACCAGAATTTTACAAGACAGCAGTGGACAAGACTTTAGCCAGTGAAAATGGAGACAGGGATCTGTTCCTCCGTTTCCTACTTGGTCTGTCTGTGGAAACCAATCAAACTTTGCTGCAGGATATTCTGAAGAAGACGGAAAACAGCAAGGAGGCAAACCTTGAAACAATTGAGTACATCAAAAGTAAAATCAATGAAGAAATGAATGATCCTGAAAAGAACCTCAATCTATTCCACTGTTTAAATGAGCTGAATGATCACTCTCTTGTACAAGAAGTGAAAAAGTACCTGCAGTCAAACACCCTACCATTTGAAAGTTTCTCTAAAGCTCAGTGGTCAGCTTTGAATTTTGTTTTACTGATGTCGGATGAAAAACTTGATGTGTTCGATCTGAAGAAATACCTGAAGTCAGAGAAGGTTTTCCTGGGAATGTTGCCAGTGGTCAAAGTATCAAAAACTGCCCGGTAAGTAGATGAGATGTATTGTTGTTGGATTCTCACATACAATATTTAGTGGTCAGTAGAGTGGCTAAAGACCTGAAAAGAGGGTTGTTATAGCAGAATGAAGAGTGGTGACTAACTCTATTCCAAGGGCAGGAAAGTTGTGATCACAAGCCACAAGTGATGTCAACACCTGGGACGTTGACATCACCTTGGACACACACCAGGCTGCTGCATACAGTAGGTCTGTTTTATAATTGTTTCCTCAAAATGTGTCATTTTACAGGTTGAGTTGGTGTGAGCTCTCGGAGGAGTCCTGTAAAGGTCTAAACCTCTCAGTGCTCTGCTCTGCATCCTCAAATCTCACAAAGCTGGATCTGAGTCATAACGATCTGCTGGATTCAGGGGTGGAGCAGCTTGCTGAAGGCCTGAAGAGTGTGCATTGCAAACTCAAGAGTCTCAAGTAAGTAAATATTGGAATTATATATATATATATATATATATATATATATGAATATATATATATATATATATATATATATATATATATATATAGTGTACAACCGACTGCAGTCACAATGCACGATGCAAATCCGTGAAGTAGCGAAACCGTGAAAAGTAAACCGCGTTATAGCAAGGGATCACTGTATATATATATATAGGTAGTGTACAACCGACTGCAGTGTGTTGGCTAACTGTGTGTGTTTAGTTTGGCTGGCTGTCAGGTGACAGAGAAAGGCTGTGGTTACATAGCTTCAGCTCTGGAGTTCAGAAAAGCTGCAGACCTGAAGATGCTGGATCTCAGCTACAACCACCCAGGAGACATCGAGTCGAAGAGACTACAGGACATAACTGAGGATCCACAAATGAAACTGAAGACACTTTGGTATGTGACTATCACCACATGTGTTGATAGTTGTCTGTGTTATTATTAGATGCTGCCTTCACATCACATGCACCTTAAGTAGAAGTGTGGACCATCTCCACATATTTGTGAATCAAAGTATCTCACTGTCCACCCTATGGTTCCAAAAGTAGGGGACAGGGCAGGCCCAAGGTTTGTAGAGCTAACTCAAGGAGGGTGAAAACTGCACCATGGCTACTCAACTACAAACTGAAACATTTTTCACTTGTTTAGTTATAGTAAATGGTAGTTACTGGAATGTTGTATAAGAAAACCCAACTAAATGTTTCACCTTCTGTTATCTGTCATTTTTTTAAATTTTATGTTTAATTATTTTCTGATTTGTGCAGTTTGGAACGCTGTGGTCCTAATCGCCTGAGGTCAGGAATAAAGAAATGTAAGAAACCGACTGTTTTAATTTGATGAAAAATTATTCAGGTCAACACCTTCACAGAGCTCAACAACATCGTCTTCCTCTTGGTTAAGTTGAATATATGCTACTGATTTAGTTGACTTTCTGTTATCTCTCTTACAGATGAAGTTTATTTGACCTTTGACGAGAAGACCGCACACAGAAAGTTTGCATTTGAAAATGGCAGAAAAGTAAAAACAATAGATTTGTCAAAGAAAGCTGCCCGAGGTACCGCTTCTGTTAACAAAGACATGGTGAGATGGACTCAGGTGTTTTGTGAAAGACCAGAAATGCCTAATCAAGGTCTAACAGGCCTCTGCTACTGGGAGATGGAGTGGACAGGACAGGTTGCCATTGCATTAGCATATGAAAAAGTGGGCAGAGACATGAGCCACTTTGGCAGCCTGATCTGCAGTAAAATATCTTGGAGTCTAAGCTGCTCTCACAAAAACTACACTGCCAGGCACGGAAACACCAGTGTAACCATTGAAACTGAGCCCTGCCCCAGAATAGGAGTGTTTCTGGACTATGACAATGGTTTACTGAGTTTTTACAGTGTTACACCAGGACAACTGAGCCATATTTACACCTTCAATGAGAAATTCACAAGGCCACTATTTCCTGGCTTTTCATTCAAAAAGGGCTGTGTGAGTTTGTGTGACATTGACTGAATACTGCACTGAATATCTGATCATTTCAAAGAACTGCAAAAGCAGAAAATGCTATATAGCCTTGACATACGGTGGTGTCTGAACAAAGTAAGAATAGCACAGTGTTAATGAGCCACTAATCTACTAATAGTAGAATGACATAAAACACATATAATATATAACACATATAACATATAAAACATATAAAATATTGTATTAAATGACTTGTATTTGATATAAAATATTGTATTAAATGACTTGTGTTTTGTGTTTTTATAAGACTTCTTTTCACGAGTTTGTTAACAGGAAACTGTGTTTCTTTTCACGAGTTTGTTAACAGGAAAATGATAATAATGTGAAGAACACAAACTGTAGTAAAACTAAATTTCCAGTTCTTAAGTCAGTCAGTAAAATTGACAGTCGAACTGCAGTAAACATGCAGCACAACATGTTTTACTATTTATTAGTTTTCCTGAAACTTTTAATCTGTTAACTTGAACCCAAAGGGATTCATGGTACTGATGCAAAATTATTTATTTTGGTTTTGTATGTTTTTACTGTCACATTGAAATAATTTACATTTACTGTTTCATTATTGAAGGAAAAACGTGTTTAAAATGACTTATTTCTAAACAAGTACAATTAGGAATACAGTATTTTGATTGATTTATTGTTGAGCTATTTACTGTGTATTGAACCTGTATGTTGTTGATTAATATCTCCATCTTTGCCAGTAGAACCATTAAGTTCTTATGCTTTTTGTTTATAATGTATTTTTTCCACTGTTTACTGTTTGTTGTTGTCTTTTCACATTTTTTTAATTTTTAATTGTTGTGTGCACAAAACAATACCTCACTGCTCATTCCAACGGCACAAATGATGTAGTGCTCATTGGATACTTCATTTCAATACCAGTAAACATTTCATGATTGTCACAAACAAATTTGTGTTTGTCACCTGGCATTAAGGCTCCACTGTTCAGTCAAGTGAACCAAATCTCAACAAGATCTCAATAAAACATGTAGTTCTACATCCCACAGATGTTTGATTCATTTTGGACCTTCATTGTTTTTACTTCATTCTGCTGGCACCATTGATCACTCCTGCTAACTGACACCTGATTGGAAGTACTGCCCTCTCCATGTGTGCCGGGCTTCCTTCATCTCTATAACGTTATCTCCAAACTGCTCCACCTTAACTGTCCCTCTCACGTTCTCATTTCTGATCCCATCCTGGTCACTCCGAGTGAAAATCTCAGGATAGACTGTGTGGCTTTAGAAAACATTATTACGACTCATGATTGCAACTTTGCAGATTTTTAAGCGATGTCCACTGACTCCATGAAACCTTTACAATATGGTATTTATAGATATTGACACGCCTGGGTAATTTATTTTGCACTGAGGATGTGTCCAGTAGAGTTTTAGTACAAAGTGGTGAACCTCACCCAAAGTTTCCCAAACGTTTTTTCTGGGGACCCATATTTTAAAAGTCACAAATCTTGGTAACCCAAGTCAATAGACATTATTCGTAAACTCCGGGAAACATGATGCAAGACGACCCCCCCAGCAAAGAAATCTCTTTCGACCCACCTGAGGGTCGCGACCCAGTCTTTGGGAAACTTTAGTAAGATAAGTTAGATCTAAACCATCTAGAACTCATAAATCTATGACAAGTATTATGGCCACATAGAGAATAATAAATAAATAAAATTACAAGATTCTTTGATAAAAACGTCTTAACATGAGAAAAAAGTCATGAAATTAAAAAATCAAATCAAATCTACACTCATAAAAGCACAACTTTATTCTTGTAGATTTATGGCTTAATATTTTGTAGAATTACAACTTTTTCTGGTCTATTCTCATAAATTTACAAGTCAAACCATATAATTTTATTCATTTTTCGTATACTCGATGTGGTCCAAATACGCTGTCGTATATTTCATTTGAATTTCAAAAAGACAAACTTCTGTTTTTGTTGCATTTCTTGGAAGGCCATATACTCCTAATGACCTGCGTCTAGTGGGTTGGACTTTATTCTGTTTGCTACAGAGACAGCCCTGGTTTGGACACCGTTGTCCAGAAGACTCACACACTTGTCAGCGGATCTCTGATTTACTCTCCTGCACAGCTGACGCTTCGTACTCTCAGTCAAAACTAAATATTTAAACTCCAGTGTTTCTCTCAGTGTCAGCCTGACTGGGCATTCTAAAAAAATGTGATTTATAACTGCACATTTTGCTGCCGTGTGTTTATCTTTAACCAGAACCTGATGCAGACCCTATTCATCAGCAAGGTCAAATATGTGGAGTCAGCTTGATTTACCCTGCTAAACACATTACACCTGGCTATGCATTTCAGAAGTGGCAGTAAAGCTGCAGTAAAAGCGAGTGAACTTTAAACTGTTTAACATATTCTAACGCTGACATTGTGTGAACGAATACAACCAGGGCTTTCAGCACCTTTCACCGCCATCATCTCATACATCTGCCCCGCAGCCTGGAAAGGACAAAGTGAATGAAGCTCTGATAGTGCAGTCCAGCAGGTATCACATGGTTGTGTTTAATGTCAGTCTGTAGCTTAAGGTCATGCGTTTAGTCATCTAATACGACGGGTTTCAGAAGTAACATGTTGTGCGTTTGCCAGGGTGGGTTCACCGCTGTTACTGTGTTCTTGAATGTGTGTGTGTGTGTGAGTGTGAGTGTTTGTGTTCTTGAATGTGTGTGTGTGTGAGTGTGAGTGTCATTTAATCCATCCTTCCTAAGGTTTCTCTGCTCCCATCCTGAGCGTCCACTCATACTCACAGACCAATCACATTCCGCATTCCTCCACCTTCCCAGGATCCTTGGGACCCAGGGTGCACGGCTGCAGGGTGTTACCATGGCATTGGGGTGATGAGGTCGCCCCCTTTGATACTTTAGTGATTAGATGAGACCTGATGGGGTAAAATACGAATAGACGAGGACGAGAGACAGAGAGAGAGAGAGAGAGAGAGAGAGAGAGAGAGAGAGTTACTCTCAATTGAAACATTTGTTTTTATATTAATTATTTTTCAAATCTCTCCTCCTTTGAACATATTTAAAGGTAGATTAACAGCCCCCCAGCACAAAAAAATATCAACCTTTAATTTTGAATTTAGACAAACAATCTCACAACTCATACATTCTCAGGGGTGACCTACATTTTTTTTTTTTTACAAATGTGAGATCACTCAGTTTGACTGTTTTACTGTATCAATGTCATCAGAGCTGTAAACAAACCACTGCATCATAAATGACCCGTGGACCTAAACAATAGTCAAAAGCATACAATTTGTGCTTACAGCACCCCCATAAGGAAGGCAAGTTGAGCTACAGCACACGCACTGTGTTTACAAGCAGTGATGCATACCTTCTACAAATAGAACCTTTTAAGTGAGACATTTTGGCTGCTGAAATAATTTCTTCAAGCAAATATATATATATATATATATATATATATATATATAAAACACCCATCGAACAAACAGCTGAACCTATATATATATATTGTTTTTGATGATTATGATTATCAAAGTCAGTAAAACCTGTACACAGTTGAACTGCAGTAAACATGCAGTACAACTAAGTTTTCTATTTCTTAGTCCCCCTCTCCCCCCAATACCCCGTTTTTGCACCAGTGATGTGTCCCTGCAGCCACTCTGAGCAGTGGGCCCCAGCGCCTTTGTGATGATTCCCTCCTGATAACACTTAAATTCTCAGATTCTACTCCCGGATACACAGCATGGCTCCTTCCTCACCCACTCACCCCAGTCGGATGCCCGCACAATGGGTTTCTGCCTGTGAACCTTTTGAGGGCCAACGAGATCTTAGAAATGCAGTTTCAAGTGTACTCCACGCGTACAGGGAATATCAACTACGCTCATCAAATCTAGGCCTCGTATCGACACAGGGAAACGTTCACAGCTTTAAATGGACCACAGCTTATTTATCTTGAATGATTCCTATGAGTACTTTGTACACTGGTATTCCTATCAATTCTTAGCACTGCTAGGTACTGCATTCTTATGTGTTTTTGCTGTTTTTTTGGCAATGAGTTTATTTTTGCATCAAATTTCCTCCCAAAAAAAAATTCCAACATGTATTTGTGCATCTGCTCCCTTATTTGTATGTGGAGAGAGAGAAAGAGAAGGAGAAGGAGAGAGAGAGAGAGAGAGAGAGAGAGAGGGAGAGAGAGAGAGAGAGGGAGAGAGGGAGAGAGAGAGCTTAGTGGAGTCAACCAAGGGATGAGAATTGAAAAGTGCTGACAGATATATGACCATGTTTGTCGTAGCAAATCCAGACATAAAACTAACCAAATCATGCACACCCCCCCCAACAGACACAAAGACATGTTCGCTCTTCTCTATAGTTTTCATGACTTTGACATTATTTATTACCAGCCTCCCCCACCTTAACTTGATCCAGTAAACTTTCACCTAGCCTAAGAGCCAACCTCAGAACTGGGTCTTAATGCGTAAAAATCAGCTAAATCAGACAGATACACATGGTACTGTCTCAGCAGTATGTGGGCGGTGGTACATTTGAGTGTCATTAGTTTAATTTACAAACCTATAAGGCACTATTTCAAAATAGAATCTCGAAACCCAGGTTAAGCTAAATAAGCTAATTTAGCTTGTATTAGCGCTTTGCTAAATGAGCAGCTGTGCTGGGTTGATATTTGGTTGGTATTGATATAATATTGGTATGAGAGTGGTCCAGGAGTCGTATTTGAGTAAATCAAAATGGTGTTTCCTGATAGAGGGTACATACAGAGGGCAGGATTACCATAATACACTTTTTTGCGATGCCAGGGATTTTGACTGATTAGAAAAGACTTACTTCGATGTCCAAACTAAGGAGCGCATAAGGAGTAGGCAGGCACTCCCCAGACACAGTCACTTCAAGGTGATACCTGTTTGTCATTATGATGGGATAAAAAAAAACAGCACTGAGGTTTTTTTAAAGGGATGATCTCACAAGATTCAACAATCCAAAAATTAGGACCCTTTAGAAATCTGTTGGTGAAGATTTAACTCAATTACACCAACCTCCGTCTTCTTCTGTCTTACCTTCCATCACAGGACTGTACTGTGTCCTGGTGAATTACAGTCTGAATGCAAGTGTGTGATGAATTACCACTTTGCAGTTTGCGTGGCTGTCAGTTTCCTGCAGGTCATTCACATCAG